TGCATTAGTTTTTTTAAGTTTCATAAATTCTTCATGACATTGTGCATGTCTTTTTCAATAACTGACCACAAGCCTGTCTAATTAAACCATCTTCTAAGAACCCCTGGGTGTCATAACAGATATACTAGTTGTTAGTGTCAAAGTAGTCTAAAAGTGAATGGTGTATCTACTCTATTATACTATTATTGGTGTACTGAAATTCAAATGTGATTCTAATAACATAAATACGGTATTCACTTGGCTAGATGTCAGTGATTTTGGGATAATAAATTGAGTTTGATGGTCTACAGTCAGCCGCAAATTTCATAGCAGCCACTATAACTCTCTGTAGAGGAATATTCACCAATGTAAAATGTAAAAAAAATGAATGCAATTGACATACAGTTTAAATTTAACCTTTTCAACACCAGACTTTCTCACCCAAATTTGTTTGCCCCTTTTTCTTAAATTTTTCAATATTTCTGGAAATGAACCCCAATTTTGGAGACGACAGACAAAATTTGAGTCAATTTTTTCAGTTTTTACACTGCAAACATTTGGCTATTTTTGTTCCAATCTTCTGAAGGAAAATGCAGACTATAAATGGGACTATTTTGTGAATTTGTGATGATAAGAAGGAACTGGTGGTGAAAAGGTAAACATACATGTGATGTCTAAACATTAATAAAACTCTGCTCTATTTAAATCACATTTTCAAAGGAAGCGTTCATAAACAAACATTGTATTTCTTGTTTAGTGAATAATTAAAACTTATTTTTAGCATAGAAATACATTTGACATTATGTGTAGAGAACGCTTATAAAAGTGAAATTTAAACACAAATACAGATGAGAAAGTTTGTTATTGGTAAAATTTCAAACTTGCCAGAGAAACGGTTAGAGCAACTGAACTTTGCCTCAATGGAAAAGTCGAAAATAAGCTTACCTAATAAAAACTATGGGACTTTTAAATGATCATTTTTTTCAATTACATATAGTGTAATAACAGACTCCTTCCCCTACGCACACATCAAGCAACCTACTAACACACCCACTCAACCTGCAATGTTTAAAATAATTTGCTATCTCCATTTGGCTATGGAATGTTAGGGAGAAAGTAATTGATGAGAAGGGTCATTGCAAACTAGGTCAAACTGCACAAAGTCATAGACAGCACTAGATTTGAAATTCCAGAAAATATTTTGTATTTTGTGTAATTTAATCGGTTTCATGTGCATTGTACCACAGTCTATTTTGTGTGTCCCATAGTGTATCTTGTGTACCATAGTGTATATTGTGACTACCATAGTGTATATTATGTGTTCCAGTGTATCTTGTGAGTACCACAGTCTATTTTGTGTGTCCCATAGTGTATCTTCTGTGTACCATGGTGTATCTTGTGAGTACCATAGTGTATATTATCTGTTCCAGTGTATCTTGTGAGTACCATAGTGTATCTTGTGAGTAACATAGTGTATCTTGTGAGTACCATAGTGTATCTTGTGAGTACCATAGTGTATCTTGTGAGTACCATAGTGTATCTTGTGAATACCATAGTGTATATTGTGAGTAACAGTGTATCTTGTGAGTACCATAGTGTATCTTGCGAGTACCTTAGTGTATCTTGCGAGTACCATAGTGTATCTTGTGTGACCATAGTGTATCTTGTGAGTATCATAGTGTATCTTGTGGGTACCATAGTGTATCTTGAGA